CAGGGCAGAAGCCTTTATACCTTGCAGGATGAACTCTGTGGGGATGCTTTTATCAGAAGGGGGCTTGGGGCAAGGCAGGCACTAAGCTCTTCATAGATGCAGTGCCAGGACAGCAGATTTCTATTCCTGAACTTAGATGTGTCTCTACTCCTAATGGATTTTTCTACCATCTCTGCTAGGGGGTAAGGTCCTCATCTTAGCATCTGGACAATTCCTGGATATAGAATGATATTTCGTCACAGTCAGAAACAGGAGATCAAGCAAAGGAGCCAGTATCTGAAATAGATCAGAAACAGAAATAGACCAGAAATAGCACAGGGTATATGCTTGGAAATTTGGGGAGAGAATGTTTTGGAGAATATTTACTTATAATCATTAATATCACTGCTTCCCCAGAACCTTAGCCGCCAGCACCAGGCCTGCGCTCCTACCACAGGACAATCACTGTGCTTCCTGGCTGACTGTACTCTAGGGATTGTCTTAAGGCCGTGACCCAGTATGGGCTGCTAAGCATCAGAAACACAGGGCAGCTTATGCACAGTCATCCAGTCCTAAAGTGGGGGTGGATTATCTGAACACAAATATTTCTGACTCTGCAGCCCAAAGGAGTAAAATAGATTCTGAAAGCGCTGTTTGGACACTAATTAATAAATATAACCACATAAGGGAAAAATTCTACCTCTTTGTTTCTATGACTGTGATTACTTTTTACCTTACAACTGAGACAAATTCTAACTGATACGTATGTGTATCAGTTTAAAAAATAATTATCCGGAATGCATTTAGAATAAGAAATTGACATAATGTTATTTCTGTTTTGACAAAAACACATTTTTCTATAAGTGTCATCTGCTGAAGAACTTACCTAAATTTTAATTAAAAATACCAAATGGATTTAGGAATTCAACAAACCTGAGAATGACATACATTGCAATAGAAATATGAACAAAATTCTTTTTTTCCATATTTATTGGGATGTAATAGACCTACAGCGTTGTATAAGTTTAAGGTGTACATTATAATGACTTGCCTTACATATATTGTGAAATGATTGCCAGAATAAGGAGTTAACATTCATCACCTCATATAGATGCAAAAAAAAAAGAAAAAGAAAAAAAGACTTCTTTTCCTTGTGACAAGAACTCTTAGGATCTACTCTCTCAGCAACTTGTAAACATGCCCTCCAGCAGTGTTAACTACAGTCATCGTGTTGGTGTTGTGCGTTACATCCCCAGTGCCGAGTCTCTTATAACTGGAAGTTTGTGCCTTTTGACCACCTTCATCCAATTCCCCTACTCCCCACCTCCCGCCTCTGGAAACCACAAATCTGATCTTTTTTTCTATGAGACACCACCCATCTGTGTGCCCCAAGACCAGCAGTCAGGTGGGCAGAGCATCAGGTGGGGAATATCTCACCTCCCCACCTGCCTTGCACAAATCAGCCTGAACTGATGGAGGGAGATGCTGATGCTTGATTTATTCACCCACATTCTGTGTTCATTTAATTCTCTCATCACCTCAGTCCACATATCCCCAGCAGTCACTTCACTGTGGAAGCAGACCGGCCCCTAATCTTCATAACCAGGAAACCCCGAAAGCACTGTCCCCCTCCCCTGGTATCACACCTCAGCTCTGCTGCATCACGAGGGTCTCAACTTCGCAGGCAGATTTTCCCCTCACAGGGTCACCCCTGAACATTGGCCCCAGATGTCCCATCCCATCTTCTCCCAGCCCTTTAAACTTTACTGTGAACCTGTCACTCACTGGGAGCTTGGGGGAGAGGAAGGTGGAGATGTTTTAGTGCTGTGTCAAGGCATCGAGATACACCTCCCCCTCTCCCCAGAACCTCACACTCTGTCCCTTCCCAGGCACGTGAAGTAAAACACAGACCAGATATGTATGTTGAAAGAGCATTTAAACACTTACAATAGGAAATTATACAGACGTGGTAGATATGAAGTAATGCATATACGAGTATGATGGGGGGTGAATGGACTTCCAGGTGCCAGGAAAGCTGGTATTGGACTCCTCAGGAAGAACCATGACAAAGGAACTTACAGATAATGCTCAGTGACAATAATATAATTATTATAGAGGTAATACACTGTAACATAAAATAACAAAAATATTGTTAAATAATGTACTGAGCTGCAAATTATGTTATATATGACATAATATACGTGTTATATATATTAACAGTTTTGATTCTGCCAACCAAAACTGGAAATAAATACTGTTATTTCCCCCATTTCATAGATGAGGAAACCGAGGCACCAAGAGGGAAAGTGCTGGTAAGACCAGAGCAGGGAGCTGAATTCAGGCCTCCTGGCTGCAGACTCTGTGCTCCCTCAGTTGAATCAATGGACTCAGGGGCTGACAACAGAGACTGAAATCCCAGCTGGCTGGTGTCATTCAGGTCTGTTGGTGGCATCTGGCGGTGACCCAGGTGTTGTAGGCTAAGGAGCTCTGGGGGAAAGAGAAGCCAATAAATGTACAGTTGGTTGCAGAATATTGTTTCTTATTCCCTCAGGAATGCTCTTTCAGTTGCCCCAGAATCAGATTCTGCATTTCTCTAGGGAAGATAGCACCCCTACTTTTTCTCCCTCTCACCACATATTTCCCAGCCCTTGCTGGTCTCCTCCCAAGTCTCCCAGTCCCTGCTTCCACCACTCACCATGCAGGAACAAGAAAGGGCCACAGGACTAAAGGACAACACCCAGGACTGGAAACCCACTGCCTTCCCCTCCTCTCAGCCCCCACCAATCCCCCAACACAGTGGGAGGCCTCCCTGAAAGACAGGCCCCTGCTCCTTGGTCCTCCAGGCCTGGGAGTGGTCACACACAGCTCCTCCTCTCCTTACTTCTCAGCCTCCTAACCTGCACAAGCACCTGCCCACAGGGCCGGGGTCTGCTCCACTGGCCCCACTCAACCACAGGCACTGACCTCCCCCTGCAGCTCAGCCTCCTGCCCTGAGCCAGCAGCTCTGAACTGGAAGACCCATCAGGAAGCTCAGGTGACCAGCAGGCCCAGCCCAGAAAAACTGGGCTGCTGTGGGGTCTGGACCTGACCTGACCCTGGAGGACCCCATGCTCGCAGAGGCCCAGCCTTGCCTTGACCCTCACACCCGGCCCAGGCTCTCAGGCTGCACTTGGTCTTCTTTGCTCCTTCTGGCCCAATGGCTCCTGGAATGGCACCTCCACCCCGAGTGCTGCTGCGAGGCTGAGGCTGCCCAGGCCTTCCTGCTCCCATTTCTAGCAGGGACTCAACCGGGCACTGCCCTCACTGCCTGTAGGAAATCTGCTTCTCAATCTGGAGTTGGGTTTCTTTCTTTTTTTTTTGCAGGGGAAGATTCTCCCTAAGCTAACATCTGTTGCCAATCTCCCTCCTTTCTTCTTCTCCCCATCCCCCACCAAAGACCCAGTACATAGCTGTGTATAGTTGTAAGTTCTTCTGGTTCTGCTATGTGAGCCGCCACCACAGCATGGCTACTGACTGACGAGTGGCATGGTTCTGGGCCCGGGAACTGAACCCAGGCTACTGAAGCAGAGCCTGCCAAACTTTAATTGCTAGGCCATCAGGGCTGGCTCATGTCGGGGCTTCTTGAGACCCCTCAGCCTGAGGCTATGTTGGCCCATCTCTGCACCTGGGACTGCCACTGTCACCACACCCACCTCCCACATGAAACCCTCCTAGACATGGAGCTCCCTAGCTGAATTCTCGTTTCATTCTATATGCATTGCGAGGACAGTTTTGGAGGAAATCATATTAAGGTTAGCCAGCTGAAATCATAAACATTTCTTTTGGACATCAAAATTTAAATTAAGAATATTGAGAAATGAGCATGTGACTTGCACACTCTTATCTTGGCTAATGCTCCAATGACAAAGTAGGCAACCGTTTCTGCCCCAAGGGAACCAGAACTGCTGATCCTTCTGTGGGGGCTTCCCAGGTGAGAGCAGGAGCAACCACAGACCCGCAGGGGCCCCTGCTCTGAGTGCCACATGGACAGAGCCCCTTGCTGTGGGGCAGAGAGATAAACTCTTCCAGTCTGCTCAGGACTGAGGGCCAACCGTCAGGATATTAGTCTCAAGGGTGAGAACCACCCCCCACAACCTTCACATCGATGTGGTGGGAACAAAAGACCCTAGTCCCTGCATCCCTCACCCCCTTCACTCTTTGACGCACTGGCTTGTTCTTTGCACAAACAGAAAAATCCCTGTTACTGTTTCCTCTCCCCTCAAGGGAAATTATTTTGACCATCCTTTCCTCCAAACCTACAGGCCAGTGACCACCATGAGGAAGGGAACAGGCTCATAGAGGGCCAGGTGAAGCCCCAAGCACAGAATCCAAGCACAGGGTCTGCAAGATGGACAGAAAATGGCCACCAGTGCTAAGGACCCATCTGTCTGTTGTAAATGGGACCTCCCAGCGGATGTCATAGGCAGGGCTCTGGCACCATCCAGTGACCCATAGTTTGGGCCTCGTGCGTCTTCTACTTGGATTCCTCATGGTGGCTGGAGGACTGGGGGCAGTGAGTACAGGCAGGAAGGGACTAGAGGCATCCCCTCTCGTTCCTATGCCTCCCCAGTGTGTAACCCTCCGAGTTGGTCACAGACGCTTTTACTGCTTGTCCCCTCTGATTCCATGATCACCCAGGCCCTCCCCAATCGGCACATGTTCCCAACACATCCCCCGGGGCGAGCTGGTGAGCCTGAATTACAGAGACACAGGGATGAGAGCAGAGCAGGGAGTCACAGTCCTCCCTGCTGCCCAGTCCTTATCCAGAGCAAGGAGAGGCCACAGCTGCACACTCAAGGGCCCCAACGTGACCCTGGTTGTGGGCAGGGCTAAAAGGTATAGACACAGAGGTGGCTCCGATTCTCCTCACAAGTACCCCAACCTGCAGCTCCCGTTACAGAGGCTGGTCGTCTCCACTCCTATTTGTGCAGAGGGAGATAAGAGGGTTCCTACATCCCAGGCAGAGCCCCTCCCATGTCCACTCACTGCCCAGATTTCTCACCTGGGCTCTCTGCAGCCGATGTTGTCTTCTTATTCTTCTTGTACCAAAGGGCAAACAGAGTAATGGAACCAATAACACCAACAACAGTGACACCCAGAATGGCTGGCCATCCACTCTGATGCACCAGGGCCTTTCCTGAAAAACAGCCTTATTATAACCTGGGCACCCAGAGCCACAGGCCTGCTCTCCTCTCATGGCCTTTGATCCTATCGAGGTTGGAACCCCCTCCAGGAACACCCCAGGCTCACCGAGTGGAACAGGGTATGTGCTGTGGTTCCCACTGTGTTCCACGTAGCACGTGAACCTCTGCTCCTCTCCTTGGGGAATCCTTATGGCCACCCAGGTCTGGTAGGTCCCATTCCTATCAGGCAGGACACCCCCAGACTGCTGGACATCTTGGTTCAGGGGTTCCTTATCCCGAAGCCAGGTCACTGAGATGTTCTGGGGAGAGAACCTGAAAGCCCAGCACGTCACGTTGACCACGCCCTCCGCAGCCTGGCTGCAGGTCACGTTCACTGCTGGGGGCACTGGGGAAGAAAGCACAAAGGCAGTGAAGCTGGTGGCCAAGCTCTGCTCCCTCCTAAGGGAGATGGAGAGAACAGGGCTGCCCCTCCCCACCTTTCCAACTCTGGCTGAAGCTCTCATGGACCCCAGACCTTCTCCAAGTCTGTCCTGTACCCTGAAGCCAAATTCCTTTAGAATGGAAAGAGAATGGGTGAGATTGAGGTTCACTCTCCTGGATCCACGTGTTGACGCTGAGGAGGGGGATGTGAGGGACGTCTCTCTATGATAGACAGGCTGGGAGCCAGAGGGACTGGCCCCTCAGTCTGAGGGCTTCCTCTCCTGCCTGACACCCACCTCCCCAGGTTCAGTGTTCTGTCTGAGGGCACACTGCTTTCCAGGATTATGGACACTGGGACAGTTCATTCCTCTCCCCACCTGTGTGGTGTCTTTATCCAGTGGCTTTAACAAAACAGGCAAATCACAACACAACACACAAACAGAACATGTATGCATCCCGTATACAGGGAGGGTTTCAGTGGGCAGAGTTGGGGGAAGGGATCTGGAGGAGAGGAGGGCCCTGCCCCAGGATCATACCTGTTCTCTCCATGAAGCCCATCCAGGATTCCACATATCTCTGCAGTTTTCCACAAAGCTCTCCTTGCACCTGGGCCCAGTAATCCTTGCTTTGAAAGCCATCTGCGTCCCAGGACTTCTTGATCTCCATAGCCACAGTCTGAGCCGAGGACTGGGGCACTGTCCATCCACAGGTCGTGGAGTTATAGGAGAGGAAGAGCTTCCCATCATAGTAGAAATGCCTCAAGCCCCTGGCATGGTTGTCTTCTTGGATCTCGCAGCCCCAAATCTCCTGGAGGGAATGAAAGTCTGCCCCCACCCAGCAGTGACTTCTCCATTCCCTGTGTCCTTCTACCTTCCCTGACCAAGTGAGAAACTCCAGCCAAGGGGCCCTCCCTTCTCTCCTCCATGGCTTCCTGTGCTGGCTGAGTAATGGCCACCTCTGTGCTGAACTCCACAGCCCCCTGTCCTCACCCCCACCCCCATCCAAATCCCGTGGAAAGGCACAGGTCCCTGCTGTTTGCCCCAAACTTTCCTGGAAAAGGCTGCGTATCACTTGTGCCCTCTTCCCATTCTCACCTCCTTTCTGGTCCTGCAGAGCCATGATGTCTGCCAGGGTTCTTCGGAGGTCCTTCCCCTTCTCTGTCAAGTCCTTGGTCTCTGTGTCCCACGTCTCAGCTCCCAGGACAGTTTCTGCACACAGTCCTTGGGGCTCAGCCTTGCCTTTCTCACTGTCATAGTGCAGGCAGGGCTGACCATCTAAGTGCCCCTCAGCAAAAAGTCTTGATTGCACAGATCTGTTGTGGAACACCACTGTGAGGTTATAACGAAGGCTGTGGGACCCTGGCAAAGAGGACACCAGATGAAACTACTTCTTGGAAACAACTGCACATCAGATGTTTAACAGAAAAGTTCTGCTGTCCTGAGCTTCTCAAGGTCTTGAGGATGCAGAAAATGCACATGTGCAAAGGGACAAGAATTATATTTCCAATGTAGGAAAGTAGGAAAGGGTAAAGAGGGAGAGAGAATTGAGGAATGGAAAGAAGGGGATGGAGATGGGCAAACATGTGGGACAGGTGCCAGAAGAGGGAGGCACAGGCTGCCTAAGGGAACAGGTAGGAGGTCAAGGCGAGAGGCTGGCCTGCAGGGGGGAAGGGAGAGGCAAGAAGGCCATGGTGAAAGGGAGGTCTCTTCAGTGGGCAGTGAGGGGACGTGAGGGGCCCAGGGTGGGAGGGATCCATGGCCAGTTTGACTGTGGTACAAAGGCAGGTTAGGGTGAGATGGGGAGCGAAGGGCTGCTGCCTGTGGTGAAGGCTCATCATGGACAAGGCAGGGCCAAGGGATGCTGTGGCAGTGACGCAGAGGGCATGAGGGGTGGATTGTGACACAAGGGTGTTTAGGGTAGGCCAGTACCGCTGGGGGAGGTGAAGGTGTGGGCCTGGGCCCAGAGTGGAAGAGGCATGGAGAGAACTCAGGTAGGGAGGTAGAGGACCTGCCTGTGTCACCTGGGGACAGTCGGGTGGCAGGATCTCAAAGAGTCAGTGCAGTGTGTCCGCAGGTAGTTTAGAGTTAGAAAGGAGAGGGAGGGATGAAAGAGAAAATAGAACTTAAATGCCAAGGTGCATGGCCGGGGGAAGGACCCACATAGTGGGAGTGGTTCTGTGAGGTGGGGCAGTTCCTACCTCCAAAGAGCATTCGGTTAGACCTCCAGCACAGGTCTAACTGGGGTGGTGCTGGGAGAAGGCCCACTGTAGGGAAAGACCAGAGCCAATTAAGGGCCATAAACAAGGATTTTGGATACATGGTGTAGGGAGTGAGAGCCCAGTAGGGTCAAGGAACCAAAAGGGGCAGGGGATTGAAGGCCAAAGATTAGTTGGACCAAGAACAGTTTGCAGGTCTGCAAGGAGTGGAGAGATTGAAAGGATTAGTGGCAGCAGGGAAGATAATGCTGAGGGCCTGGGACTTGGGGGCTGGGGATGAGCATGGTGCAGGGATGACCCTGGGGTAACTTGGGTTAGGGTGGTGACAGGAGAGGAGGGGTGTTCTGGGTGAGGGTGGGGTGGTAATTGCAAGGGGCCCACCAGAGTGGGCTTGTGAGAGATGAGACCTTGGTGAGGGCCCCAGACAAGTGGGCAAGGGGTGGGATTAGAACAAGGTGCCATGGGGGGAGGGGTGCAGAGGGAACAGGGAGAGGAGCCCAGCACCTGTGGAGGGGATGGCAGAGGGGAGAGGTCAAAGGACTGAGGGGGCACATGAGATGGCAGGGGAGGAGGCCAGGAGAGAATATGGCGTGGTAACATTGGCATATGAAAAAATTAGAGATAACATTGGGAAAGGGAAGTGAGAGGGGAGGAGGATGGTGGAGACCAGAGAGGTCACACGAGGAATGCCTTGGCCAGAAGCCTTCAGACTCTACCCTCCCTCAGTGTGAGAGTCAAAGGGGCCACAGTGCCCACAGCAGGAGGAAGTGTGGCTACAGCCTCGGCTCCCCACAGAGCTCCTGGTCACTAGAAAAAGGCCCCTAACTCCAGACACTGAGGCCCTTGAGAGCTGCCTGCCTGGAAAATCCTTGTCACCCCAGGCAGGAATTGAGACATGAGCAGAGAGGACAGTGTTCTGGGGCCTGAGAGGGTGCCCCCCCAAACTGGTGGGAAGTGTGGCCTGAGCCCCACACCTCTAAGGGCCCTTCAATGTCATTCAAAGCCCCAACTCAAGCGGCAGCCCAGGGCCCAGGGCATCAGAAGGACCGAGACATCCCAACATGAAGGCACAGGGAAATGATGCCAGACCTGATATCAGTTCCCCTACATTAAACCCAGCATATATGGGGTTAAAACCAAAAGCACTCATTCTCTTTCCCTGCTTCTCTAAAGTTGCTAATTACCAGTTCTCTAGGTCTGTTACAGGGAAATTGATATCCTGTGAATATCAAGAAGCTAAAGCTTCTCAGACCTCAACTCCTTGGCTTCCTGGCACCAGAATCCACCACCCACCACGGAGACAGAAAACCAATGACACCTGCAGATTCCCTTACCTCGCCATCCTCCTCCCTGCCAGCAGCCTCACAAGGCCAAAGGCAGACAGCTGGGAAAGCGCTGAGCAGCAAGGCCATAGGCTCTCCCTCCCTACAAGCAGCCACATTTCTCACAACCTTTAAAACCCCTCTGCCTCCCATCCTTTGGGGAGATGGGACAAATTTGAGAGCTCTTGTCTCCCGGCTGATGTCACCTAAAATAAAAACTCTTGTCTTGCCATAAGCCTGATGTTCCAGCTTTATTTGGCCCCTCTTGTGTGGCGGGTAAAGAACCTGGGTATGTATCTGGTAACAATTTGGCAAGGGAGCCAGGAGGCTCTTTGCCCATGGCTCCGTGGCCACGGGCTGACTGAGATTTCCTGGCGAATCCGTGGCTCCGCGGCTACAGGCTGACTGGGATTTCCTGGGAAGCAGTCTAGCAGCTGCCTAGGTGATTTGCCCTAGGGACTCTTCCCAGTACTTTCCATCTGACCCGGCACCACTGGCCCTAGGAAACAGGCTCTAGAATTTTTTGTCTGTTTGTGTTTGCTTCTGGTGAGCCAGCAGACTCAGCAGAAATGGGGTAAGTTGGCTTGGGGACACCCATGAACTCTCTTCCCCTCCATCTGGGGTTCCTTCTGTTCGCGGAGGGGCCATCTGGGCACGCACTGGAGTGGGAACAGTTGTAGGACTTTCTACCCTAAATCTGGGAACCGGTTCACTGGTATCTGGTTTTTCTGTGTCTGGATCTGTGCGTCTGTCCATGTCTCTGTATGGGAATGTGCCATCTGTCCCCAACGGGAGCTCCTTGGGGCTGATTCTGAGTAGATGGTCTAATTACAGTTATAAGCCAATGTCTAAAAAGGGATGATTTTCTTTTGTAACACCACGTGGACACAATATTCTTTAGAGTCCAGAGGAAAAAAAAATGGCCAAACAGCGGATCCTTAAGTTGGAAAAGTTTTAAAGAGCTCTGGTCATAAACAGCTGTTTTACTGGTACCTACTAAAAGGAAAATACAATGACTAGTCTTAAGAACTTAGTTAAACTTGGGGTTTCAGCTTCCTTCCATGATCTTACACGTGCTAATGAAGGCATAGAGTTAACAGAGGAGTGAAGGAAAGCTGGGAGGGAAAAAAGGGACTCCTCTCAACAAGCTGGAAATTTTTAGAAGAGTTAAAAAATAATAATAAGTAAATAAGATAATGGATTAAATCGGACTAATATTAAAGGGGGAAAACAAAGAAAAATCAAAAGAGAGGAGTCACAGGACTCATCTCAGCAGGATGGAAATCTCTAGTTATTAAAAATAAAAATAGGAAGCCAGCCCGGTGGCGCAAGCGGTTAAGTGCACACGGTCCGCTTCAGGTGGCCCAGGGTTCCCAGGTTCAGATCCCGGACATGCACCGATGCACCGCTTGTCAAACCATGCTGTGGCAGCGTCCCATATAAAGTACAGGAAGATGGGCACGGATGTTAGCTCAGGGCCAATCTTCCACAGCAAAAAAAATAAATAAATAAAAGAGGACGCCTGGCATTGGATGTTACCTTAGGGCTGATCTTCCTCCCCCAAAACAAAGAAAAGAAAAATAGGATAAAGGGAACAGACATGAATGAAATTAAAACAAAGGTTTTAATAAAACTCTGCCTAAGGTTGGCTGGGCTAAAAGGGATCCCCTATCAGCCCCCCAACATTAAAGGCTCTCAGACAAGACTGTTCTATTGACTGCAGCTTGAAAAATTTAAAAAGCCAAAAGGCAGAAATCACAATGAGAAACCCGACCAACAATTGTTTGGGGCAACAGTTAGGCTGCTCAGGTTAATGAGAAGATAAAGACTAAATTATCTGTTATGTCTGACTGGGAATGCTTCCCCCTACACACTATTGTAATACTGAAACTTGTTAATGGAATCCTAATAAACGTTGTAGTTAGAGGTATAAGAGTTGATAAAATTAAGATAAAGTTTTATAAAAGTTGATATATTTAAATAGGCTTTATGTAAAATGATTACATCTCTTTTGTCTGATTGTATTATAGATTATATTATGAGGAGAGACATTGTGTCTCACTGGGGAAAGGGAATGTTTTCACCGCCTGATATTGTAAAAGCATATAAATCTACCCTTCAGACAATGCTACTTAAACACGCTAAAGGAGATCTCACTTGAAAATCGCCAAAATGGGGCAATTTCAGTTTACCCAAACTGGTGTATTTACATATGCAATTGGAAAAAGCCAGCCACAGAGTTAAACAACCAACGGGAAGCCTATTTTAATTTTTTCAGGCTTCTAAATGAAATCAGGAATACTGTACTGCCACTTTAAAAGAAAATAATTAAATAATTAAACATGCCCACAGGGGAAGCAGAAGGATTCTGCTGTTCCTCTCTCCTCTTGCCCGAGCTTCCCCACTTCAACTCCCCCAAATTCCCGATCTAAAATTGAGCAAGTGAAAATAAGTAAACTTTTGAGATAATTTGGAATTGTAATGGCCGTTCTGGGAAACCTCTGTTTCAGATGAGTCCACCTTAAGGGTCATCCTTAAAAGAGAGGATTCAAATCCTCTCACGATGGGATGCAATCTTTGATTAATATACAGAAACTTCGAAAAGACAAAGTTATTCCAAAAACAGCTGTAAAGAGGCCTTACAACAAAAGGAAAAAATCCGTAGTAAATATTTTTGGCCATCTGAGCAGATCCACCTGCTAGAAAAATAGTTTAGATCTAACTATTCCTTTGAGTTTTGTACCTGAGACATGGCTAAAATTTTGAAAATCTCTGTTGGTGTTTATCTGTATCTATATTTATTTGTTTGCCTCCGAATGGTACAGTTTCTAAAGGAGCTCTATTTAATTGGCTTGGAGGAAACACTTTTACAAGTTATTTCTAAATGTAATAGAGCTAGCCCAGATGTCTTTCAAGTTAACATAATATAAAATGATCTTTGGTAAATAAAAGCCTGTTTAAGTTTGCTGGTTTGATTTAAAATAAATATGTTTTCAAAGTTATCAACATTGGACATGATACAGACATGTTATCTCTTACAAAATTTATCATCAAAATTAATAACAGAATAATAACTGTTTCTGTCTGATGTCTCATGAGGTTTTTGTAGACAATCTAATTATAATTATTACGGACAAGAAAACTAAATAGATGTATAAAAGATAAAAGTTTTTTTAACTATTTGGCTGTCTTTGCCTTCAAGATCTTTGGTTGTCACCTTGTTTAAATGGATAGCTAAACGTTATTTCATGGGAACCTATGATATTATGTTGGTAAATGTTACCAATATAGGTGTTTTGAATTATATAACATTACTAAAATTCTGATCTGTCCTGGTTATCAATCATAATAATAAGATTGCTGAAAAAAGATGAGAATAGCAGGGTTGAGGTGGTGGCAACTGGCCTCGTCCAGTACCCGCCCCTCCCCGGGGAACTGCTCCAAGCTCATCCTAGGCCGAGGACCCCAATGAACCCCACTCACCAGCGGCAGTACCGATGGATGCATAAATGGCAGCGACAGCCAGAAAGGGCAGGACATGGTACAGCCCCATGGCCCTGACTTTGTCAACCTGAAGAGGCCCAGGCAGCAGCAGAAGTCAACTAAGCAGAGGGAAGCCCGCCTCTGAAATTTATTACCAAAACACGCGATCCCTTGGCGCGGCTCACAGACCGTCCAATGAGCAGCAGAGGGAGGGCTTTGCTGTTAACAGCAGAAAAGCCCAAGAAAGGAAGAGGGGAACTTCAGCCAGCGGGCCTGGCCCCAGAGGCAAGAAAAACTCCCAGGCTTGAAAAGCCTGTGATTCAGGATCCCCAGGCAGGTAAGACCCCAGATGAGTACAGCCAAATGTCCCAGGGACAGGCTCTGAGCAGCTGAATGTTAGGGCCACAACCTCAGAGGCACCCAGATCACTGCCGCCCTCCCTAGCAAAGGCGACTCCCTGCGCAGGAGCAAGGCTGGTCTCACAGAGCTCCTGTAAAGATACCCAACTGCTGACCTTTCCCTGGCTTCTTCCTTCCAGAACAACCTTCTGTCCCACACACATCTCCCTCCCTAACCGAGCACAACATTGTTGGCAACATCACCAGTGAGCAGATTTGCAGACCTGTCTGCAGATTTCAGCAACCTCTGCCTCTCAGAAGCAAGGTCCCCAGTTGAATCACTCACATTTCAAACTCTCTTAGATGTTGCTGCCTCCTCTACCTCCCAGTGACTCCAGATCCAGCCAGGTCTCCTTTCCTGCGGCCACATCCTGTGAGGGTCAGAGCTCTCCCGGGGTGGCCTCTCTAGTCAGTCCCTGGGGCATCACAGCCCAATGAGGTGGCTTCCCCCCTTCCACTCCAACAACAATGACTCTCCAGACTCCCCTTTCCAACCTGCCTCAGGACCTCTGGACCCATCTGCCCCTCAAATCCAACAGGTTTACAAGGAAACTACACATCTCCCACCACACCAGCCTCTCCTCCTCCCTTAGTTCTCTTAGCATTACTATCCTTGGTCCCATCTGATTCCCCTTTCCCCTGCCTCATGGACTCAAAGTCAGCTCCTCCAACCTCCTTTCAATCCCACAGCCACTTCCTTAGTCCAGGCTTTCATCTACCTCAGCCTAGAAAATTGCAAAGGCTTCCTGAACACTGTGCCTGTCCCCAGTTATAACCACTAGGCCCCACACCATCCACAGCTGCCCCCTCTGCTGAATTTAACACATAATGCCTCTACTCCACCATCAAAGCCCACAGCTGCCACATCTGCTGCCTGGCATCACCTCCCATTTCTCTGGGAGGTGATGTCCCCTGGACATGTCCCCTGGGTTGCAGTAAAAGTGGACTCCCCCCATCTCCTTACCCTGTCCCACCAGGATGCCACTGCTTAAGCATCTCCCTCCTCTGGATTACTCTCACCTCTGCCTTCCAGCCCATCAGACCTGCACATCCTAAAAGATCATTCCAATTAGATGGTGGTGATAGTGGCACAACCTTGGGATTATAGTAAAATCCACCTAACTGTACACTTTAAAAGGGTGAATTATGTGACATATGAACTATGTCTCAATAATAATAAGAATAATGCTATCCTGAAAGCCTCCTTCTACTGAAAGCTCTGTCTTACCCCCAACACCCATCTTTGGTCTTTGGCACTTCTTGACCATGGTCCTCAATCTTAGCTGCTTTTTAGAACCACCTGGAGAGTTTTTGCTATCCCTATGCCCAGGACAAGGCAAAAACCAATTGAATCAATATCCCTTGGGTTGGACCTAGGCCTTAGTATCTTTTAAAGCTCCCTCAGTGATTCCCATGTGCAGGCAAGTTTTAGAACCACTGGTCTAGCCCATGGTTGAACCTCCCTGATGGTACCAAGTGTGCCCTGCCTTGTACCCCATCTTACCAACTTATCCTCCCCCTATTAGACAGTGAGCCATTCCAGGAGGAGGAACTGAGTTCATTTCACCTTTGTCTCCCCTGCAAATGCTTTTTTAAAGTTGAACTATACCCATCATTACTGACCATTCTGCTAAGACCCTTCTACACTTTTTCTGTGGACAGAAAAGTCATGCCTCAGAAAGTTTTAACAATTTCTTAGATTTCACATCCATTTTTATTAATTACTTTGAACATCACAATTTATTTAGCATGACAGGGATTGGGTACTGTCCCATCTCAGAGAGATTCTTGTCACTGCTAAAGGTCACAAGGGGATTGAGAGTGTAGAGAGGCAGATGGAACCCAGCTCTCCTGAGGGCTGGTCGCAAGCCCTTCCCTCCATGTCAACCCTCTTTGAGGACCTCCTAGTGTGGCAGCTCCAGCAAACTGTCTCAATCAGCTCATCCATCGCCCCAAAAAAGACTTTTAATACTTTAATAATAATAATAATAATAATAACAATAATAGTATGCTAGGTTTGTTCCAAGGCATTTAAAGATTGTTGCAACAGAGATGAAGCCAATCCTCCTCTTACTGGAGAGTAGGAGAGGCTCTGATGGACTAGGGCTCCAGATCTGGGGTGCTCCCCATAATCTAGGTGTGGCTGTCCCTCCCCCACCACGCCACTCAGGTCGTCTTCTGTACAAATTGTTTCCCCTCCACCCCACCCTGCTTCCAGGCCCCTTCTCCTCTGCCCCATAAACTGCTTTTTTCCCTCCACTCTTGCCTGTGGACCCCTGGACTCACAAGCATAGGGGCGTCTTTCTCGCGAAGATCCGTGGCGCCACTGCTGGGTCCGGAAAAGAAACTGAAAAACCCAGGGCAGAGGTTTACATAACCCAAGGCGGGGCTTCGCTGGGAGATCTGGGCTCTTTTTCAAGTGGGCTGGCCCAGAGTTTACAGGCAAGATGAAGATCACCCATCCCCCTACCCTGGCCTAAAGGAAATAAGAGTTGCTCATTTTTGTAAAAGCAGAGTGAAGGCGCTTATGGGCAGAGTTACAGGGGAACGAGTTGCACTTCGGTTGAAGGTCTGAAACTCCTGGGCAGTTACACCTACCGGTGGTGAAAATGCAGACCTGCCCGGGTGTGGGGAAATTCCGAGTCCGTGAGTCTGGAGGGGGATCTGGAATCTGACTTACAATAAACACCATCTTGGTTGATTCTGAGGCCCGTGAGTAGGGGAATGCAGCTTCCAGCCCCCTCCCCCACGGGGCCCCGACCTTGGTTTCTAACAACGGAAAACCCTTTCTGCAGCCTCATATCACTCCAGGAAGGAAAGTGCCTGCTGCGTTAAGGTCCTGATTGAACCAGGTTCCACCGGGCCGGTAGCGCTTTACGGCTTACAAACTGCCCAGGCGAGAGCCCACTCGCGTCTCTGCACCTGACCCCTGCGGGTGGACGCAATCACGGGCTCGAGTATCCAGGCGATAAAATGTAAAAGAGAGAGTGGGTAAAGGTGGGAGGGAAGGGGGGAAATGTTGAAGAAAGAAAGTGAGAAGAAAAAAAAGCTAAAGGGGAAATACATTTCAAAAGATCTAGTATTATTATTGCTAACCGTTATTATCCCCCTCTGTCCAGTTTTGTAATTTGTTAACGTTTGACTTCAGCTGTTTGATCTCTCTCTGAATGGGTAAATAGATGGCTATTGTTGTTATTGCGGGACAATTTGAAAGTTGCAGATCAGGACCCCTTACCTCCAGATGTGTCAGGGTATGTCTTTTAAAAACAAGAACAAAGTGTTTTGTTGTTTTTTACATAACCAAAGTACAAATTTCAAAGAGGATAATATTTTTAAAAACAACTTCATTGCATATAATGCATCCATTTGGAATGCACAGCTGGTTGAGTTCTGGCAAGTGTACACACCTCTGTCATCACAGTGAAGACGTAGGACATTACTGTCTCCAAAGAAATGTCATGTGATAAAATTCTTTACAGCCAATAAAAGGCATAGGATAGATTTTAATGTATTGCTATGAAAAGATGTGCCCAACACACTGTTAAGCTTTTATCAAAGGTTAAGAACAAACTTGAAATATATTGCCACTAATCCCACGTACATAATACATGTTTTACATAAGGGAAAACCTAGAAGATTCCTCATGAAAGGTTTGACAGTGGTGTCTCAGGGAGTGGGATAGTTGGGTGACTTTCACTTTCTCTGATATGCTGAAATTTACTTTTTAGTATAAATTTGCATATGTATGGGAGTCAGAGAGAATATCTCAGTTTTAAAATATTGTAAAACTAAGCCCCAAACCCAATAAATAACAGATTTTTAAAAAACCAAATGTTAATTAAAACCCAACACTACATACTTTCTCCTTTATGATAATCATTCATATTTTCATAGCACTGAATGTTTCTTAAATTGTTACTGAAAGGGATGTTTTTAGTAGAGTGGAAAGACAAGTCATAACTATAATAAAAAGTTCGGGCTAGAAACACAAAAGAAGTGCAAAATCGAGTGTGGGCACTAGGGACCCCTTCAAGATTATGCTTTACCTTTGAAACCCACGTGGCCATCGCATCCTCTGGTCTTAGACAAAGTCAGGGCAAATCTTGTTCCCTGAGCATCGGTTTGTCCTTGAGAAAGGTCAAAGGCTTTCAGAGCAAGTCTGAAGAATGACACTGACTTTCTGGTCTAAAAAGCTTTCAAGACTGTTTGGGCAAAGGCAGTGTTTGTAAGAGGATCCAGCTTGTCTGGGCAATGCTCCCTTGGGTTCACCCGTTGGCAGTGGCCACAAGGCAGGCGAGGACGAAGAGAAGCTGCACCACTGGGTCTGACTCAGCGAGGGGCTTTTGGGCTGACAGCATGGCTGTGCTTTCTTTGGGGGCCGGGTAGGGTGTAGGCGGGAAGGCACCAACTCAAGGGATAACTGCAAAAGGAAGTGGCCTAAGCCTCCACACCCTTCCTTCCTCTTGCCACCTCACAACCCGAGCCTCCTTCAGCCCAGACTGTTGGGGGAAGTGCGGAGACCCAAGTAGAAAGAGCAGGCTTCATGGGCCTCGTGATGGTGCCTGGCTCCCTTCTTCAAGAGACTGGTGGCGAATTCAAACTGGGGGGGGCGACTGTAAAAGCTAACCTTTGAAAGTAGGTCCTTATTTCCCACGCTGGCTTATTTACAAAATTCATGTTAATAGAATACAAAAACAAAACAAAACAAATTCTGCCCTGATTTTTCTGGCGAACAGAAGGTCCTGCACTCTCCCAGTTCCTCAGGGGCTTCAGGCCGCCCCCAAGTGAGGCTCCAGGCTCCAGACCTGCTGCCATCAGGCCAGGCCCCTCTCCTTCTGGACTCCCTTCACCTCCTGTCAACCTCCCTCTGCTTTGTCTCTGCTCCCTCATCCTTTTCCCCTCCCTAAACCCACCCCTGAATATCTTGCACCTTCTTCCAAGGCTTTCTCCTCATGACTACAAATTCCTCCAAACTTTAGGAAGAAAAACAAACACCAGTGGAGAAATCCTGCAGGAGACCAGGGCTCCCATGCTAGACATGAGCCCCCACTCCCACCTATCCCTCTCTCTCTGTGTAAATGGAGAGTCAAAGTCCTTAACCTGGCATCTCAGAAACCTCCCCACTTTGGCACTGCATCCAAGAGTTGGCGTTATGTGTGTGGACAAACTTTTGGGACCCCTTTTCCTGGTCTAACAGGCAAATATAACAAGCAAGCTACATAGGCTTAAAGTCAGTACAAAAATCCGTGCTGTGGTGTGAAAAGCCATGCAGGCCATCTTAAGCACATGTTAGAATGACTTTGCAACCTCACACCTCATGACTGAAGACGCCAGCTGGACAGATCCACAGCAGGAAAAGATAGCGGGTCCCTTGCTGTCACATTTACCAGCCGCATTTCTTAAAGATTGAAGGAAAAAGTAACGACCCTGTTCTGTACCTCCCTCCACACATGGATAACACTGACACTCCAAGCCACACTACATACATGTTGGATGTATAACCAAAAAGTTCTTGTTTATGTTATCCTTGAAGTATACGACTGTTAGATCTGTAAGCCCTTACCTACATGTACACTGCTTTGTTAAAAAGTATATAAACTGCACTCAGACCTGTAGACTCAGAGCAGTTCCCCAAAATACTCTGTTGGACTGTTTCCCAGGACTCGAGTTCCTCATCTCGATTATCAAATAAACTCCTTTAATTAACCTTTACCTAGACTCTTTATTTCAGTCGACATGTGCACATGTGCTTTTATTTCAGGAGATGGGACAATGCTATTCATCAGATCAGCAGACTGTGAAGACACCCTGTCCCCCCAAAGCTTAAAGCACTCTGCATTAGGGAGGAGGGAGAGAGTGGGGGAGCCCCTGACTCCAAGTCTACTGATCACTCCTACTCCAAGAGACACTGAAAAGAAGCACAGGACAGTCCATTCCCTCCAGGGACCAGGCAGGGAAGTCAGAGCCACCGTGAGTGGATGTCAAAGTCCATCAAACAAATATCATTACAAGAAAAATCCCTGTGTCACACTTTGAAGCTCACAAAAATGATCAGAAAACCAAAATCCTAGCTCAGGTGACATCACTGAAGTTGGCTGTAAGGCTTTGTGGGACCTGTAGGTAGAAAGCAGGACATCTCTAGGGCTGCAGCCCAATAGCCCCTATGTCTTAGGGCCCCCAGAAAGGATGCTCTCTCTTTAGTGGTGCAGAAGAATCTCTTTGGATGTAGAATCTCTTTGGATTTCTGAGGTTTTTACACTGATTTGTTGACTTTGTAGATGTTGAGTTCATCTTTGAACATCTTAGAAACAATTTGCTTTGACCTTGTCTAAGTGTGGAATCTGAAACTGTTCTGAAGCAGGAAACAAGGGACTGGCCCTGTGAGCTATGGCCCCATGTGGAGGTTAATTTTCTGTGTCAACTTGGCTAGGCCATGGTACCCAGGTATTTGATCAAACATTATTCTAGATGTTTCTGTGAAGGTATTTTTTAGATGAGATTAATATTTAAATAGGCAGAGTTTGAGTAAAGCAGATTACCTTCCATAATGCAGGTGAGGTTTCTACAATCAGTTTAAGGCCTTAATAGGAAAAAACCCTGACCTCCCCCAAAGAAGAGGGACTCGTGGGCAGACTGCTTCCACACTTGAACTGCAGCACCAACTCTTCCTGGGGTCTCCACTTGGTGTCCTACCCTACCCCACAGATTTTGGACTTGACAGCCTCTGCCATCACATGAGCCAATTCCTTAAACTAAATCTCTTATATATACTCACACATATGTATTATATACATAAATGTAAATATAAAATATGTATATTTTCATGTATAATTACATATTTTATATAATATATAAATATAAAATATAAATATATAATTTATAAATATAAATATGCATATATATTAAAGACATTGAATATAAATATATATTAAAAAGTAACACAGATGCAAACACACATACATAAATATATTTTCTGAAACACTCCATTTCCCCAAATGTTTGCAGCTTATAAAAAATAAAGGTGTAAAATTTATGCAGAATTTATAACATGGAAAACTATTTGTTATGTAACAACAAATTTCATTTCAGAAAGTAACATTCAGAATAACCCATAACATCTGGATGGAACTTTGTAAAATGAACAAACACACACATACATATATTTATTATTTTATATACTATTATTTATGTAACAGCAGATTTTATAACTTCCTCATACTCACTACCTGCTACTTTTTGATATTAGAAGTCTTTGTGGGGGTACATCCATTCACTGATTTTTCTGCTGATTCAATTTCATGGTGTTTTATCTCCTGGTGGGTTAAAAGTTGTTTTGAATTGTGTACTAGACTATTAGAAAAAAATTAGAGTTATTTTTAGCCCTAGATGATGATTTTTCTCCTGCAGAAGGGTTCTGTACATTTCTGTCTGTATTGCACCCGGTAGGTTTCCAATCTAGGAATGTTTCAATCCAAATTTGAGGTGTCAAGCACCCCAGATCACCCAGAGGTGAAGCCTGAGTAGTATAAATTCCTGCAGGTTCACAACTACCATTCAGAAGCAGCATTTCAGAGACTCTGCTTAATGTATGTGTTTGGGGGGGTGTTCACCAGCGTCCCCACATTTGTGACCCTTGGCTTTCACTTCTTTTTCCACTCAGCCCCTCAGGGTAGCTGAAAGCTTGCTCATCTCCTCAGGTTCTGTAAATGCCTTCAGGGCAGAAGTGGATCTGGTGTCCTAGGATTCCTGCTCTCACCGTCCTGGGCTGTGGCTCTCACCTAGACCTTGGCTGGCAATCGTGAGGTCATCACCTCAAAGAGGTGCAGTGGGGCACAAAGGATCAGGCAACAGAAAGATCTCCCTGTGAAGGTGGACTCCAAATACATCACCATGGATATAGGTAACTGCTGTCCTTTTCTATGGACTTCGCTACACTCCTTCCCTCTATCCTCTCTCCCCTCCCACCCTCAGGACGGCCTCAGTAGCCTGGGCAGAATCCCCAACCCCTCAGAGGAAATGCTGAGGAGGAGAAGGGTGCTGGGGTCCTCTCTTCTCTCCTTTAGGGACACCTCCAGGAACCTAATTCCAGCCTCTTGGAGATCCTGTGTGTGGCCTGCGCTCCCTGGTGCCTGCCCGCAGGAGCTTCTGGTTGCTGTGTTCCCGGGGTCTGAGAAGCCACTTGGTACAGTGACCCATCAGGTAGTCCCTTGTGGCCTCCACCATTCTGAACCTCTCCCAGGTGCACTTGATCCTCAGAGCCGCAGTTTGCGCCGCCGTCCAGGTCTCTAAGTCCTCCTTTAGGGGGTTGAATCCTCATCATCTTAGGCACTGAACGTGTGCCCTGAGGAAGTCACCTCTCATCCACACAGCATCGGCAAGGTGTGGGACCCTGGACACAGTGCGAGTCTATCAGAGCAGTGGGTGGTGGTTGTCCTGTCCCGCCCGCCTCGGGCCCCCTCCCACCCTAGGCTCCTCCCCGTGACTGGTCACAGAAAAAGTCAGTCACAATCTAAAAGGAAAATGAAACCTGAAGCTAAACCTCGGATTGCCCTTCCCACCTGTGAGTGGTGAGCATGAAGCCCCGCCCACACCACTAGAGCCCATTAGTGCCTGGGGATGGAGGTGGGGGTCTGGACCTGTGCCAGGAGCCTGATGTCACTCACTGGACTTGTCCTAGCTGTGGTACCTGCCCTGGAACATCAGGTTGCTCAGCATTAGATCCCCTAGGGTCTTGGTGAACTTTGCCTCAAAGCGCAGATAGTAAGGTCCCAGCTTCTCCACCCTCAGCTTCAAGCTCTGATCCTTTTTAGAGTTGAGGCACCAGGGAGAACCAGATGGGCTGGGCAGGAGGTTTATTCTTTGCATCCTAGAGGATTAGCAGTAATATATCCCTCTCCTCACCTTGTGGCTCAGCTCTTTTACCATCTCCTGGGAGCAGGAGCGATGTCTCATCGCCACCTTGTGGTCTGTGGTCTTCCTTTCCCCAGATCAATCAGGACGCTAAGATCAACCTGGACCCCAGGCCTTCAGCAACTTTCCGGTAAAGTAGAAAAGGCATGAGGTGGGACTGTGTCGGGAGAGGAATGGTGTCATCTCCACCTCTGCGGAGATCCCCATCAACCCGTTCAGGGGAAGGGCCAAGCCTTACTCTCCATGCTGAGAGGAAGCTCTGGGCCAGGACTGGTCTGTTGGAAAGGCAAGGACCTGTTCTCTCACACCAAGGGCCCCAGAGCCTGCAGACTTGGGGAGACTTGTGTACTAATCAGGTTCATGCATGCCTCAAGGAATAGACCCTGGACATTGCCTCAGGTGACATGAGCAAGATGCACACCCAGAAGTGAGGTAGCCCCTCCTGGGGGTTCTTGGTCCTCCAGTTATTCTGGGTGCTCAGTGCTCTGACAAGAGGTGGGTAGGAGGCTTTGTGTAAAATAGAAATTCTTTATAGCCCATTACTTATGTTATTTTACTTTTCATTAGCCCTTTTTATTGTAAAATAAAACACAGATACCAAAAAAAACACAACTATCTAAAAATGGTGCCCCTTAATAAAAGGCAAACACCCTTTAAGCCCAGAGAGAGAGAGATTTTCAGCCAACGCACAAGCCCTAGCATTTGCCCCATCTCAATCACAACCTTTTCCCTCCCCAAATAAAAACACATCCTGACATTGATCATAATCATTTCTTTGTTCCAATTTATAATTTTATCATTCAAAATTATAGTTTAATTTTACCTTTAAAAATGTTTTTTGTTCTCTTTTGTTCTATAGAGTCCTCCTTTATATCTTTTATCCTCCTAAAATTTATGTGTCTTGTACAGTTTCTCAGTTTGCTTTTCGCTGACTCCCTTCATCTCCAAAGTTTATTTGAATATGTATCTCTGTCGTGTGTATATTTATAAATGGTATTGGGATATAGAAGCTTGATTAAATTCAAGTTTGATTTTTTTTTTGGCAGGAGTACTTTATGATGGTGTTGTGTTCTTTCATTGAGAGGCATTTAGTTTCTAGTTATTTCTCTTATTGTAATGTTAATTGCCATTGCTCTTTAATGCCTAAATATATTAATTCATTCTTCATTTATTAGCTGAAGAATTCCTAAAGTTAGAGATTTTCCGAATTCTACCATTTGGTTACTCAGTAGAACTCTGTTTTATGGGACACAACTCTAAGTTAATATCTTGCAGTTTCTGAGTATTTTGCTACTTGACAGAGAAGATCCGATCAGGTGAATTTCCTCCATCCACTGGTCAGTCCCTCAGGATTGCACACACATGGTGGACTTGGCTCAAATTCATCTCTGGCCCAAAATACTGTGGTCAGGGTAGTAGGTTGCACAGAGGAGAAGACTTTATAACTCGCAGGATGAACTCTGTGGGGATGCTTTATCAGAAGGGGGCTTGGGGCTAGGCAGGCACTGAGCTCTTCATAGATGCTCTGCCAGGACAGCAGATTTCTATTTCTGTGCTCAGATGTGTCTCTACTCCTAATGGATTTTTCTACCATCTCTGCTAGGGGGTAAGGTCCTCATCTTAGCATCTGGACAATTCCTGGATATAGAATGATATTTCGTCACAGTCAGAAACAGGAGATCAAGCAAAGGAGCCAGTATCTGAAATAGATCAGAAACAGAAATAGACCAGAAATAGCACAGGGTATATGCTTGGAAATTTGGGGAGAGAATGTTTTGGAGAATATTTACTTATAATCATTAATATCACTGCTTCCCCAAAACCTTATCCGCCAGCACCAGGCCTGCGCTCCTACCACAGGACAATCACTGTGCTTCCTGGCTGACTGTACTCTAGGGATTGTCTTAAGGCCGTGACCCAGTATGGGCTGCTAAGCATCAGAAACACAGGGCAGCTTATGCACAGTCATCCAGTCCTAAAGTGGGGGTGGATTATCTGAACACAAATATTTCTGACTCTGCAGCCCAAAGGAGTAAAATAGATTCTGAAAGGGCTGTTTGGACACTAATTAATAAATAATTCTTATTATGTGAGGGAAAATATCTTACCTCTTTGTTTCTATGACTGTAATCACTTTTTGCTTTATGCCTGAGACAAATTCTAACTGATACACATGTGTATCAACTTTAAAAGTAATTATCCTGGGGGCTAGCCTGGTGGCGTAGTGCTTAAGTACACGTGTTCCACTTCAGCAGCCTGGAGTTTGCTGGTTTGCATCCCGGGCACGGACCAACACACTACTTGTCAAGCCATGCTGTGGTGGCATCCCACATACAAAATAGAAGATGATTGGCACAGATGTGAGCTCAGGGAGATTCTTCCTCAAGCAAAAAGAGGAAGATTGCCAACAGATGTTAGCTTGGAGCCAATCTTCATCACCAAAAAAAAAAAAAAGTAATTATCCTGAATGCATTTAGAATAAAAAATTTACATAATGGTATTTCTGTTTAGACAAAAAGACATTTTTCTAAAAGTGTCATCTGCTCGAGAACTTACCTAAATTTTATTGAAAATACCAACTGGGTTTAGAAATTCAACAAATCAGAGAATCGCAGATATTGCAAGAGAAATATGAACAACATTCTTATTTTTCCAGTTTTCTTGAGATATAATTGACCTACAGCATTGTGTAAGTTTAAGGTGTACAATATAATGACTTGCCTTACATGTATTGTGAAATGATTGCCACAATAAATTTAGTTAACATTCATCATCTCATATAGAGGCAAAAAGAGAAAAAGAAAACAATGCTTTTTTTCCTTGTGATGAGAACTCTTAGGATCTACTCTCAGCAACTTTCAAACATGCCCTACAGCAATGTTAACTACAGTCATCGTGTTGTGCATTACATCCCCAGTGCCAAAAGGTGTGCCTTTTGATCACCTTCATCCAATTCCCCTAATCCCCACCTCCTGCCTGTTGTAACCACAATTCTGATCTTTTTTTCTATGAGACACCACCCATCTGTGTGCCCCAAGACCAGCAGTCAGGAGGGCAGAGCATCAGGTGGGGAATATCTCACCTCCCCACCCGCCTTGCACAAATCAGTCTGAACTGATGGAGGGAGATGCTGATGCTTGATTTATTCACCCACATTCTGTGTTCATTTATTCTCTCATCACGTCAGTCCACATATGCCCAGCAGTCACTTCACTGTAGAAGCAGACCGGCCCCTAATCTTCATAATCAGGAAACCCCGAAAGCACTGTCCCCTCCCCTGGTATCACACCTCAGCTCTGCTGCATCACGAGGGTCTCAACTTCGCAGGCAGGTTTTCACCTCACAGGGTCACCCCTGAACATTGGCCCCACATGTCCCATCTCATCTTCTCCCAGCCCTTTAAACTTTACTGTGAACCTGTCACTCACTGGGAGCTGTGGGGAGGGAGGTGGAGATTTTTTAGTGCTGTGTCAAGGCATCGAGATACACCTCCCCCTCTCCCCAGAACCTCACATTCTGTCCCTTCCCAGGCACCTGAAGTAAAACACAGACCAGATATGTATGTTGAAAGAGCATTTAAACACTTACAATAGGAAATTATACAGACATGGTACATATGAAGTAATGCATATACGAGTATGATGGGGGGTGAAGCGACTTCCAGGTGCCAGAAAAGCTGGTATTAGACTCCTCAGGAAGAACCATAACAACGGAACTTACAATTAATACGCACTGACAACAATATAATTATTACAGAGGTAACATACTGTAACATAAAATAACAAAAATATTGATAAACAATGTAGTGCACCTGTAAGGACCTTATATATATTAACAGTTTTGATTCTGCCAACCAAAACTGGAAATAAATACTGTTATTTTCCCTATGTCATAGATGAGGAAACTGAGGCACCAAGAGGGAAAGTGCTAGCAAGACCAGAGCAGGGAGCTGAATTCAGGCCTCCTGGCTGCAGACTCTATGCTTCCTCAGTTGAATCAATGGACTCAGGGGGCTGACAACAGAGACTGAAATCCCAGCTGGCTGGTGCCATTCACGTCTGTTGGCGCCATCTGGGGGTGACCCAGGTGTTGTAGGCTAACGAGCTCTGGGGGAAAGAGAAGCCAATAAATGTTCAATTGGTTACAGAATATTGTTTTTATTTCCTCAGGAATTCTCCTTCAGTTGCCCCAAAATCATTTCTGCCTTTCTCTGAGGGAAGATAGCACCCCCACTTTTCTCCCTCTCACCCCACATTTCCCAGCCCTTGCTGGTCTCCTCCCAAGTCTCCATTAGCACCATCACCTGTCACTGCTTCCACCACCCAGCATGCAGGAACAAGAAAGGGCCAGAGGGGTAAAGGACAACATCCAGGAGTGGAAACCCACTGCCCTCCCCTCCTCTCAGCTCCCACCCATCCCCCAACACAGTGGGAGGCCTCCCTGAAAGACAGGCCCCTGCTCCTTGGTCCTCCAGGCCTGGGAGTGGTCACACACAGCTCCTCCTCCCCTTACTTCTCAGCCTCCTCACCTGCACAAGCACCTGCCCACAGGGCCGGGGTCTGCTCCACTGGCCCCCTCACCCACAGGCACTCACCTCCCCCTGCAGCTCAGCCTCCTGCCCTGAGCCAGCAGCTCTGAACTGGAAGACCCATCAGGAAGCTCAGGTGACCAGCAGGCCCAGCCCAGAAAAACTGGGCTGCTGTGGGGTCTGGACCTGACCTGACCCTGGAGGACCCCATGCTCGCAGAGGCCCAGCCTTGCCTTGACCCTCACACCCGGCCCAGGCTCTCAGGCTGCACTTGGCCTTCTTTGCTCCTTCTGGCCCAATGGCCCCTGGAATGGCACCTCCACCCCGAGTGCTGCTGCGAGGCTGAGGCTGCCCAGGCCTTCCTGCTCCCATTTCTAGCAGGGACTCAACCAGGCACTGCCCGCACTGACTGTAGGAAATCTGCTTCTCAATGTGGAGTTGGGGTTTCTTTTCTTTTCTTTGTTTTTTTTTTGCAGGGGAAGATTTGCCTTAAGCTAACATCTGTTGCCAATCTCCCTCCTTTTTCTTCTTTCCCCCGCAAAGCCCCAGCACATAGTTGTGTACAGTTGTAAGTTCTTCTGGTTCTGCTATGTGAGCCGCCACCACAGCATGGCTACTGACTGACGAGTGGCATGCTCCTGGGCCCAGGAACTGAACCCAGGCTACCGAAGCAGAGCCCACCAAACTTTAATTGCTAGGCCATCAGGGTTGGCTCACGTCAGGTTCTTGAGATGCCTCAGCCTGAGGCTGTGACTGCCCATCTCTGCACCCTGGGACCACCACTGCCACCACACCCACCTCCCACACGGAACCCTCCTAGACACGGAGCTCCTCAGTTGAATTCCTGTTTCATTCTATATGTATTGCAAGGACAGTTTTGGAGGAAATCCTATTAAGGTTAGCCAGCTGAAATCATAAACATTTGTTTTGGATATCAAAATTTAAAGTAGGAATATTGAGAAGTGAGTACATGTCTTTCACACTCTTATCCTGGCTAATGCTCCAATGACATAGGATGCAACCATTTCTGCTCCAAGGGAACCAGAACTGCTGTTCCCTCTGTGGGGGCCGCCCAAGTAAGACCAGGAGCAAACACAGACCAGCAGGGGCCCCTGCTCTGGGTGTGACATGGACGGAGCCCCTCTCTGTGGGGCAAGGTGATAAACTCTTCCAGTTTGCTCAGGATTGAGGGCCAACTGTCAGGATATTGGTCTCAAGGGTGAGAACGACCCCCCACAACCTTCACATAGAAGTGGTGGGAACAAAAGACCCCAGTCCCTGCACCCCTCACCCCCTTCACTCTTTCACGCACTGCCTTTGTTCTCTACCCAAACACAAAACTCCCTGTTCCCTTTTCCTCTCCCCTCAATCAAACCGATTGCAGGGAAATCATTTTGACCATCCCTTCCTCCAAACCAACAGGGCAGTGACCATCATGAGGGAGGGAACAGGCTCAGGGAGGCCCAGGTAAGGCCGGGAGCACAGTATCCAAGCATAGGGTGTACAAGATGGACAGAAAATGACCACCAGTGCCCAGGACCCATCAGTCTGTTCTAAGTGGGACTTCCCAATAGGATGTCATAGGCAGCGCTCTGGCACCATCCAGTGACCCATAGTTTGGACCTTGTGGGTCTTCTACTTGGATTCCTCATGGTGGCTGGAGAACTGGGGGAGGGGGTGCAGACGGGAAGGGACCAGAGGCAGCCCCTCTCATTCCTATGCCTCCCCAGTGTGTAACCCTCTGAGTTGGTCACAGATACTTTTACTGCTTGTTTCCTCTGATTCCATGATCATCCAGGCCCTCCCCAATTTCCACATGTTCTCAACACATCCCTCTGGACAAGCTGATGAACCTGAGTTACAGAGACATAGGGATGAGATCAGAGCAGGCAGCCATGATCCTCCCTGCTGCCCAATCCTTACCCAGAACAAGGAGAGGCCACAGCTGCACACTCAAGGGGCCCAGCCTGGCCCTGGCTGTGGACAGGGCTAAAGGGTATAGATGCAGATGTGGCTCCCATAACCCTCACAAGTACCCCAACTTCCAGCTCCTGTTACAGAGGCTGGTCGTCTCCACTCCTATTTGTGCAGAGGGAGATAAGAGGGACCCTACATCCCAGGCAGAGCCCCTCCCATATCCACTCACTGCCCAGATTTCTCACTTGGGCTCTCTGCAGCTGATGTGGTCCTCTTCTTCTTGTTCCAAAGGACACAAGGAAAGATGATAATAACAAGAGTCACAGCAGCAACACTCAGAATGGTTGGCCATCTACTCTGTGGCACCGGGGCCTTTCCTAAATAACAGCCTAATTATAACCTGGGCATCCAGAGCCACAGGCCTTCTCTCCACTCCCCCATCCTGGCCCCTGACCCTACCAGGGTCAGAACTCCCTCCAGGAGCACCCCAGGCTCACTAGAGGGCACAGGGTGTGCGTTGTGGTTCCCGCTGTGTTCCACATAGCACGTGAACCTCTGCTCCTCTCCTTGGGGAATTCTTATGGCCACCCAGGTCTGGTAGGTCCCATTCCCATCAGGCAGGACACCCCCAGACCGCTGGGCATCTTGGCTTAGGGGTTCCTCATCCCAAAGCCAGGTCAGTAAGATGTTCCCGGGAGAGAAGACGAAAGCCCAGCATGTCAGGGTGACAATGCCCTCCCAGGCCCTGCTGTGGGTCGTGTTCACTGCTGGGGTCACTGAAGAAGAAAGCACAGAGCCAGTGAGGCTGGTAGCCAAGTCCTGCTCCCCTCTAAGGGAGATGGAGAGAACAGAGCTCTCCCCACCGATCCAACTCCCGTTGAAGCCCTCATTGACCCCAGACCTTCTCCAAGTCTGTCCTGCATCCTGAAGCCAAATTCCTTCAGACTGGCAGGAGGATGGGTGGGGTTGAGGTTCACTGTCCTAGATCCACATGTTGACGCTGAGGAGGGGATGTGAGGGGTGGTCTCTCCAAGAAAGGGAGGCTGGGAGCCCGGGGCCTGACCCCAGTCTGTCGGCTTCCTCTCCTGCCGGACACCCACCTCCCCAGGTTCAGTGTTCTGTATGAGGGGGCACTGCTTCCCTGGATTATGGACACTGGGATAGTTCATTCCCCTTGCCAGCTGTGTGATTTCTTTATCCAGTGGCTTTAACAGAACAGGCAAATCACAACACAACAAGCCAACAGAGCATATGTGTATACCATAGTACAGGGAGGGTTTCCGTGGGCAGAGCTTGGGGGAGGCTCCAGGGGTCTGGTGGACAGGAGGGCCCTGCCCCAGGGTCATACCTGTTCTCTCCGTGAAGCCCATCCAGGATTCCAGATATCTCCGTAGTCTTCCACAAAGCTCTCCCTGCACATGGGCTCAATACTCCTTGCTTTGAAAGCCATCCATGTCCCAGGACTTCTTGATCTCCATAGCCAGGGTCTGAGCCGAGGACTGGGGCACTGTCTATCCACGGGTCTTGGGGTTATAGGAGAGGAAAAGCTCCCCGTAATAGTAGAAATGCCTCAAGCCCCTGGTGCTGTGGTCTTCTTGGATGTCACAGCCCTGAATCTCTTGGAGGGAATGAAAGTCTGCCCCCCACCCAGCAGTGACTTCTCCATTCCCTGTGTCCTTCTGCCTTCCCTGCCCAAGTGAGAAACTCCAGCCAGGGGGCCCTCCCTTCTCTCCTCCATGGCTTCCTGTGCTGGCTGAGTAATGGCCACCTCCATGCTGAACTCCACAGCCCCCATTCCACACCCCCACCCCCATCCAAATCCCGTGGAATGGCACAGGTCCCTGCTGTTTGCCCCAAACGTTCCTGGAAAAGGCTGCACATCACTTGTGCCCCCTTCCCATTCTCACCTCCTTTCTGGTCCTGCAGAGCCATGATTTCTGCCAGGGTCTTTCTGAAGTCCTTTCCCTTCTCTGTCAAGTCCTTGGTCTCTGTGTCCCACATCTCAGCTCCCAGGACAGCTTCTTTCCACAGTTCCCGGGGCTCTGCCCTGCCTTTCTCACTGTTGTAGTGCAGGAAGGGCTGACCACCAAAGTGTCCCTTAGCGAAAAATCTTGATAGAACAAATCCATCCTAGGATACCACCGTGAGGTCATAACGAAGACTGTGGTATCCTGTTCAAGGAGGAGACCAGATGAAACTAGGAATTTGTGGTAATAACTGAACATCAGGTGTTTAACAGAAAAATTCTCCTGTCCTGAGCCTCTCAAGGTCTTGAGGATGCAGAAAATGCAGAAAATGCACATGTGCAAAGGGACAAGAATGAGATATGCAATATAGGAAAGTAGTAAAGGGGAAAGGAGGATAGGGAATTGCAGGAAGGAGGGCGATGGAGGTGGGCAAAGATGTAGGACAGGTGCCAGGAGAAGGAGGTATGGGCTTCCTAAGGGTCCAGGCAGGACGTGAGGGGAGAGGCTGGCCTGCAGGGGGCAAGGGAGAGGCAAGGTGGCCATGGTGAAGCGGAGGTCTCATCACGGTGGAGTGAGGGGATGTGAGGGACCCAGGATTGGAGGGATCCATGGTCAGGTTGACTGTGGTGCAAAGACGGGTTAGGGTGAGATGGAGAGTGAGGGGCTGCTGCCTGTGGTGAAGGCTCACCATGGACAACGTGGGGTCAAGGGAGGGTGTGGCAGTGAGGCGGAGGGGCGCGAGGGGTGGATTGTGACACAATGCAGTTTCGGGTGGACCAGTACCTCTGGGGGAGGTGAAGGTGTGAGCCTGGGCCCAGAGTGGAAGAGGCATGGTGAGGCCCCAGGTGGGGAGGTGGATGAACCCGCCAGGGTCCCCTGGGGTGAACGGGCGGCAGCGTCTCAGAGTCAGTGCAGTGTGTCCAAGGGTAGCTGTGACTTAGAAAGGGCGGGCGATAGAAGAAAAATAGAACTTAAATGTCAAGGTGCATAGACTGGGGAAGGAACCACATGGTGGGAGTAGTTCAGGGTGGAGGGCAGGTCATACCTCCAAAGAGGGTTGGGTTAGACTTCCAGCACAGGAGGGGCAGTGCTGGGAGAAGGCCCACTGTAGGGAAAGGCCAGAGCTGACCAAATGCCATAAACAAGGATTTTGAATACATGGTGTAGGCACGAGAGCCCACTGGGGTCAAGGAACCAAAGGGGGCCCGATGAAGGCCAGGAAGCTGGGCAGTTCAAACAAGAGCAGCATTCTTGTTGGTGGGGCGAGGGGAAGGCAAGAGGCAGCAGGAGAGATAACGGTGAGGGCCTGGTATTGGGGGGTGATGGGTGATCTGAGGAGAACTTGGGTTATTGTGCTGACAGGAGATGAGGGGTGCTCTGGGTGTGGGTGAGGGGTTTGTGAGAGATTAGAACTTGGTCAGGACCCCCAGGAAGGTGGGCAAGGAGTGGCAGCAGGGCAAGATATCATGCAAGGAGGAGTGCTGAAGGACCAGGGAGAGGAGTCCAGCACCTGTGGGCTGGAGAGTGGAGGCCTTCAGAGGGTGAGGTGTGGGATGCAGGAGTGGGGAGGGGTGGTGCTGGGTGAAAGGCCCAGGATGCAGGAGGACCAAGAGCAGGAGCCTGCACTGGAGGGGAAGGAGGAGGACAAGGCACCAAGATGGGGACAGGTGTGTGCACAAGGGGCTGTGCACTGTGCATCAGGGCTCCCCTTGGTGAGGCCAAGAGGAGAGTGGGGATGGAGGGAAGACCCTCTGGACAAAAGGTATCCCCAGATAGTTAGGGTTCAGGAAAGTTGTAGGGAGGTAGGAGCCATGCAGGTGAAGGCTCCTTGTAGACAATGGCCCACGATGGGTGGAGGAGGGACTTGAGGTGAGGGGAGAGGGGGAGAGGAAGGACACACTAGAGAGGGATCAGAGAACTGTAGAGAAGAGGGGACGGCAGGGAGGTGAAGGGCAAAGGACTGAGATGGCACATGACATGGCAGGGAAGGAGGCCAGGTGTGAGAAGCTGGCATATCAGAAAATTAGAGTTAACATTGGAAAGGGGGAGTGAGAGGGGAGGAGGATGGCAGAGGCAAGAGAATTCACAGGAGGAATCCCTTGGCCAGAAGCCTTTAGACTCTACCCTTCCTCAGTGTGAGACTAAGGAGTGGCCCCAGCGCCCACAGCAGGAGGAAGTGTGGTTAGAGCCTGGGCTCCCCATGGAGCTCCAGGTCACTAGAAAAATGGACCTAACTCCACACACTGAAGCCATTGATAGCTGCCTGCCTGGATTCTCCTTGTTACCCAAGGCAGGAATTGGGACAGGAGCACAGAGGACAGTGCTCAGGGCCTGAGAGGGTGCCCCACAAACTGGTGGGAAGTGTTGCCTGAGCCTCAGTCCTCCAACGGCCCTTCAATGCCATTCAAAGCCCCAACCCAAGAGACAGCCTGGGGCCCAGGGGCATCAGAAGGACTGAGCTGTCCCAACAGGAAGAACAAAACATGATGGCACAGTGAAGGGTAACAGATTATGTCACCCCAAAATATATGGCTTTGGTGTATTGATTCTTTTGTGCGGTAGCCACTTGAAAAAAAGCAAATGGGGAGTGATGTCAGCATCATGGCAGAGTGAGTTGTTCCCTTTGTCTCTCCCCTCTAAGTTACAACTAAACAGACATTCATTAACCAACAGAGGATTCCCTACACAGCACAATAGAACACCTGAGAGATCCACACAGCCATACATCTGAAATGCTAGACCAGACAGACTTAATATATATATATAATATATATATATAAATATATATAATAGAACAAAGAATCCTGAAATTTATATGGAACAACAAAAGACCCC